AAGATGTCCACATACCTATATAAAAAAAAAAAAAAAAAACTAGACAAAGCAGCAAACAAAAATATTTACAGAAAGAAAGAATAGAAAAGGAAAAAAAAACTATTTCATCTCCTTAGGACTACAAGTGAGTCCAGAGGCTAAAGCACAGGTACACCTAACAAAGCACAGGTAACCAAGTCTTATGGTCAGCAATGTTTTAAAAAAATAAATACAAACAGAAATATGGCAAAATACATGTATTCTTTGTCTTCAACAGATTAAGATGACAGGAAATTTGTTTGCAGATACTATGAATACACCTAAGCGTCCATTCCTTCAACTGACACCATAAAATACATGTTATTAGTTTGTTGGCTGGCCTAGCACCTGCCTGTTACAGCAGGTAATCTGAGCTATCCAGCATCTTAAAGCCCTGTTCTCAGAGGACTGATGGAATCAGATGTAATTTTCTCTTTAAATGTCTGTGCAGAGAATACAAAGCTAAATGTTTTTCTATTCCTTGTAAGGCTTGAAGATGGCTTATTAGTGAAATGATTGATTTATGCTTTGACCTTTACTGTTTAGTTACTGATCTCTTTCTCTTTGCCTCTGAAAGACAGAAATGCACGTCTTATAAGGTAGCCCTGACACAATTTCAAAACATGCTATTTTAAATGGAAACAATGAAACCTGGTATTTCAAAATGCTCCATGAAGGATATCTTAATAAAAGTGATGATATTAATAAAAATACCAACAGTAATTACTTGGATATACCTTTATGTGACCTGGAAAACTGTCCCAGATGTAAATGTATTGCATATAGCTCTATAGTCTTGTAAACATGAGAGGTTGCTACCATTCACAGAAAATTGCAGTAAGAAATGCTTTTATCAGACGTCTTGTAACTAATATTTAGAATATCTGAATTACTCTAAAAATACTTTCTGTCTTTGTTACTGAGTAGTTTCGAGTTAGTGTTACTTAGTTTTAAGGCTTGATTTTGGAAATAGGATGCTCCCAAAGAATGACATGTGGAGATATTAAAGAATTTAGTATTTCTGTTACTGCTTGTTAATTTGCAAGAATGATCTTCAGAGTCTTTTGCTATCCCTAGAAACAGCACTCTGCAAAAAAATAATACAAATCTAGGATGTCCTGAAGTGCAGCAGGTGTTGGCTGTGTCATTTCAACATCAGTTTGGGGTTCAACAGCCTTGCAGGACTGAGATTGTCAGTTTGCAGGTGTTAAATTTAAAAGACAGTGAGGCCAGCTGCATTCAGGCACCGCAAGTGTTCACGGCAGGCATTCAAGGGCAAATCATGCTTGAGCAACCTGATTGCCTCTACGACTAAATGACTGGGTCTGCAGATGAGAAAAGAGCCGTGGAGGTAATATACCTTGACTTTGGTAAGGTTTTTGACACTGTCTCCCACAGTGTTCTCATTTGATAGCTGAGGACACCCTGGCTGCCTAATCTGATTGCTATGTTAGTAGAAAATCGTCTGGGCTATCAGGCTCAAAGGGCAGTGATCAGTGGCTCGGTGGCCAGCAGGCAGCTGCTGAAGAGAGGGTACCCAACACGCTAGGAGATGAGTGCTGGAGCCCTTAGTGTTGGTCTGCAACCTCAGAGGTGACACAGAACAAACTTTATACATGGCACAAAATTAAGGGAAATGGTATCATTAGGAATTTGAATTTCAGTCCAAAGGCTTATCACGGAAAACCTGTCCATGTCTGCTTCCCAGAAGCAGTTCAAACACTGGCCTATTACTTTCTATTAATTAAGGTATTTATGTTGGTTTCTGTTGTTCTGCCTTCCTGATGATTCTGTTTCTTCTTTACATGGGACTTATATGTTAAAGGTTTGTGTTAAGATCCAATTATTAAAATTATTAGAGAGATGTCTCTGTCCAAATTAAGGTATAAATGAGACCATATTCTAAAGTCAATAGTACAGATTTTTATTTAACTGCAAATATATGGAAAAGAGAGACAAGAGTTGAGAAAGAGAACAACAGAGAAACAGATCAAGTAGAAAAGCAAAGTCACCTCTCCATAAATTCTGACAACATCTCATTCATCCTTTACTAGTCCACTCAGTGGCTGCAGACAGGGCATGAAGTGGTAGAAGGACAGTCCACCCAACACCAGGTCCATAGGTTTTATATTATGCTGAGTGTAGGTAGGAAATATCCCCATGAGTCTTTGAGCCCCGTTAAGAAGTAGAAGCCATCTCTTATGTCAGTGTAGTTGAGTCGATCACGGCCCATTATACCCCATCAGCTGAGATAAACACCCTCATCCTATGTGTGAATGCCCCTGTTCTTGGGAGGGGAGTAACCTGGATGGTTACTACAAGGAGTCAAATGTTTGAGTCACTAATCACTAGTCCAATCTTTCACAGTTACCCTTCTGACACTTGACCTTTTCCATTTAGCTTAGTTCCTTGTCCTCCCTACCTTTGGTTCCCCTCCTTCTCTCTCCCTTTCTCCCTCTTTCCTCTCTCCCTCTCTCTCTCTCTTTTTTTTTCTGAATGAGGATGTCAGCCAGTGTGTGGATGACTTCATCTGAGCAAATTGTCTCAACTCCCTTGATAGTCAGTGAAGAGAAATAGGAACTCCTGGGGTACAGCATATTTCCTAATTTAGAATAGGTTAAATGAATACATCTTACAAGTGGCTCCTTTTCTCTTGACTGTACAAGAAATGAAGATGAAGCCTCTCAGATAAATGTCACAGATATCTAAAGTTAGGTACAATGATATCACAATATATCAACCAGAAAGAATGATGTTGCCACTATCTCATGATAATAGAACCTATTTCTTCTTCATGTTTTAAGGACGTAATTTCTTCTGTGTTCAGAATCTTCTACCTAAACTTCTGTGCTGGTTTTTGGGTTTCCCTTTGTTTTTTTTTTTTTTTTTGGTTTTTTTTTTTTTTTGTTTGTTTGTTTGTTTGTTTGTTTGTTTTGTTTGTTTTTTTTAATTTACGGACACATTGTATGGGGACATTACTCCACTTCTTTTAGTGCATATATCAGGAGATTTCAGGTCCTGAAATTCCTTCTCATACTCACAAAAATGGTTGAAGGATCACAGTACTGGGTATCTCACTGTTGGATTTCCAGATGCAGATTTCACTTAACAGAAACGGAATAGATTAAATACTAATTTTCTGGGTTTATTTCTTACAGTCTTTTACATTCCAGTTAATGCATTAGCCTCTGTTATGTTGAATACTATCAATGCTCCTCAGTCTGGGACATATTATAATGTATCTGACTGGTACAAAATGCTTCTGCTGTGTTTTAAGTATAACATTATGCAGCCAATGAGATTTTAATGGCTCTTTATCACAGCTGGACTCCAGTAATAAATGCATCAAGACTTCAGACACATTCTCCTTATATGTGACTGAGGACAATGAAGGAACCCAAATACATGCGACATATAATGAGATTATTTTGCTCTACCATAGAACAGCCAATGCTGTAGCACTTTTTTCAAACTCCTCAGATTTAAACTTGGCTCACTTCAGATTTTAAAAGTGATATTAGGCTATTTTTATAAATATAGCAGCAAACCTTCAATTTTTTTCTTTCCAGATATTCATGGAATCTCTGATCACTGAGCTTGTTTTCAGTAGCAAATGATAATGAAGCCATCTGCTTTAGAGATATAAGAGATGATCAGGTATCAGGTTTCCTATTCTTTCAGATTTCATTAGAATCATTAGAATTATGATTTAAAAGAGAAGTTGACCAACAATTTGTTTATTAATTTGGTGACTGGCCTTTTTTTTTGTCTTTTTTTTTTTTTATTGCAGGCATGTTTTCACCCTTTTAAAATCATCCTTACTGCACAAAATGCAGCCCAAGTGATTTGCATGCATGTGTGAGCATAAACAGGTCTATTGTGAAATAACATTGTACAAATATGAAGACATTTGTCTTCACTTTTATTGAAGAGTGTGGAATTGAAAAAAAGTAAACTTAGAGCAATTCTTGGCTTGCAAGTTTTGGATCATTGAAATAAAAACCATTTTCAGTGACAGTGTAAACAAAGTTAAATGTGAAAGAGCAACTAAGCTCTTTTCACATTGCATTTGACAAAAGAGCCTGATAAAAGCAGTTTGTTCTACCTTTTATGAATTTCGTGTCAGTAACATATTCAGAGATGATTGCAAGTCACAGAAAATACAAGAAAATCTCTCATATAGGAAAATTTCTCATCTCTTTTGGTAAATAGTAATAACTTTACCTCTGAGACAACACTATTCTCAATGTCCCATTCTCGTTTAACTCATTGAGGTATTAGAACTAAAGGCTACAAGCCTGTCTATTTTGAATTTGGCTTCTTGATAAAATGTTTGAGTGTGACAGTAGAAGGAATGGAGTGCTGCAATGTTGCTGTAGAATAATGCTGGATGCTACACTGGAGGTACTTGATCTTTCTTAGAAACAAAGATGCAGGTGTGTATTTGGGTTAACCTCATGTGTTGGATACTCAGGAAGTATCTACATTCATATTGATTTAAATTTTCACTACAGAGAAAAATCTCTCTTCACTTAGTCCTTTTTGCAGCATGCATATATGAATCTGCGTTCATCGCTTCTGCATAGCAGTGTTCTCTGGATGAATAATTTCTGGGGTTTATGGTTTGTTTTATGGTTGATTTTTTTTTCATGTTCAATTGGTTTGTAAAATGCACGGAATAAGTCTGTTCTATGGTATTTAAATGTTTCTACTTATAGTCAAACGTGATGCCACGTGAGCAGTGCTGGTGACAAGTATTGCAGAGTTTAAACCATTATTGTTGTGGCTTCTCCAGTCCATTGGTCAGGAAGATTCCACTCTTCCTGAACAAGGAAGGGCCCTTGTTCCTTGTAAGGGTGGTCTGCCCTATGGCAATGGCAGAACAATCCTGCACAAGCCTTGTGATCCAGAACAGATACAGAATATTTTGAAGTCTGTACTGTAACTGACAAAATGACACGTGAGTATTTTATGAGAGACAAGGTGGTCAGTCAGTGTTTATAGCACTGATTTTATGACTTAAGTTAACCAAGCTTCTGCTTCCTTACCACTTTTGAAAAAGCTGTGGTGCTTTCTATGACTAATACTCCAGTCTGAAGCCCATTTTCCCTTCCCTTTCTGACTGTTACATATTGTTGTAGGTAGTTTGACTGGAAGTTACTGTTTAACCACAGTAAAGTGTTCTTCTGCAGCACATACAAGCAGGGGGGGTTAGCATATTTTTGAAAATGGTGCTTTAATCACTTACCCCTGGAAAGCATAATGTAAAAAACAAGAAGCTCTGTCCTGCCTGAAACTATCCATGCTCATTGTCTGTAGTACTTCTGGCATACAGTCGCAGTCATTGAGCAACCAATATTTTAAAATTCTACATTACAGACTCTTCTCATACAAAAATCAAATCCCTTTGAGGTACCTACACATATGTTTCCCCATCCCTCTACATTACTCATAATCATGAGTGGCATGGAATGTGGGGGAAAATGAGCCAGTTTTTGGAGAAATTCTTGCTTCACTGGTTTGGAAGTTCACTCCTGAACGACTACAAGACTGTTAAAGGGACAGAATATTTGCAAGATATTTGCATTTTGAACTAAAGGAAAATTCTTGGTTTTCTTTTTTTCTTTTTTTAATGAAAATTTGGATTTAGGAAAATGCACTGTAATTAAATTGTCTTGTTATCTACTGTTTGCTGTTATGCTAAATGGTTATCAAAGTTAATCAAATGTGTTTGAACTATTTGGTTGAGAAAGTGCCCATAGTTAGCTTTTATTCTTTAATTTTTTTTCTGTTATTTCCCCTCCAAATTGCATTGCTGAATTACAAGGGGGGAATCCACTCACCTAACAATAGACATGTGTGCCATTTGAGGTATTTCAGCATTCCCAAGACACATGCAGAGATTAGGCAAATATGATACAGTCAGAAGGACCAATCAAACAGTGTTGAAAATAATAACATATCTTTATATTTCAGCAACTGATTCCTACACTAAAAGTCTGCTTATGGGCAGTATTTTCTGATAAATACTCCTCATGCCCTATGAAACAGCAAAAACACTACCAGTTATTCCTCCTGGCCTTCAGATGCCTCTTTAAAAGGGTGTGGTTGAGACAGACGTCCCATGCCAGACTTGTTAGCTCTGTGGGGACAACTTAAATGTGCTAAAACACTTCAAATGGCACCAGACTCCTCTACATAGATAACTGAAGTGAGCCATCAGCTTTTTCAAGTGCAGAATAAGCCTATGGCAAGGAGATCTGGACTGAAAACTTAGGAATGATGGTTATCTTCAGGACAAATGGAAAAGGCAGTGTCTTTGGGATCAAATGGTAAAAGAAAGGACACATCAGCTCAAATCACAGTAGTCAGGGTTTTTGAGGTGTCTGTGGAGTAGTCAGATGTGTCAATCACATGGCTTTACCAGCACATGGCAGACACAGCACAGTAGAAATGGACTGGCACTTCTGTTTTGGATTAGCGAGTGTGGAAGGTGTACAAGATTCAGCTGATGTCTACAGAATAATTATATGAATACCAAGGAGTCACATGCTGAGGATGCTGCAGTGAATCTAAGCTGGACTTGTCTATGCTACATTCAAGAGCTGAAGCATCCAGGGGCGTTTGTCTTCGTGCCTTCCTTCATGTTGTGAAAGATGGAGAGGGGGAAGTTAGATACTGCTTCTAAACTAAGAGAGAGTAAAGTATGATCTCAGAGCCCTGAGCCATGGAGGTCAGGCGGATTAATAACTTAGAGCAATAAGCAGTAGGGATAAGGTGGAGGGAAAGTAATGAGAAGAAGACAAATTGGATGTTTTGAGATTTTTTTTGCCTGTCAGAAAAAAAATAGAAATAAAATAAATCTTCCTGAGAAGATAGGGTTGCTCATCAGTAGGAAGCTAATTCATCCTTGATTATTCCTGACATTTCTTTTTCTTGAGTTTTTTTGGGGGGGATTCTTTTTTTTCTTTTAAATGATGTTTATTTTCCTGCTGAGATTTGAAATAATGCATTTTCACTGATTTAAAAGCCAGAATCTGCATATAAATGGCAGTCCTTCAACATCACCACAGGAAAATTTCATTTTCTCATCCAAGGATGATATTATTACATACACTTAATATTGAATGAAGTGTAAACCAGAATATTTTATTTAAATGCAAATTTTGAAAAATGACTGCAAGAGTATCTCTGAATTCATTCAGTATCAAAATGCTGTTATTGGGTAAAATGGATAAACACTTCACCAAACAATAATTCAGCTTCTGTCTATATATATTTTTTAACATAAATTTTTTGAACTAGTTTAAAAGCTGAGCTACTGAAAACATCTTTATTTATGAGAAGCAATTTTTGAACAGAACATAACTCTGTAAGTCTTTAATTTCATTTTGGATTCTGTTTGAGAAATAAAAGTATGAATGTTCAGTGCCCTTGTTATATGAGATATTTATCAAGGAAATTGCCATTGGTATGTCTGCCAGTATGGTGCAAGGACATTGCTTGTCTTAATCTCAATTCCCCTTCAATTAATTATTGCTACATATTTTCCTTGTTCTAGACATCTGATATTGTTTACTTGATGTTGGAGTCAATACACTGAGCTAGAAAAGCTTTTTGTTGTTAGTTGGTTGATTTTTTTCATGCATTTTTATTTAAAGAAAGAAGTGCTTTGACTTGTTGAACCCAAAAGAGGACTCATCCAAGAGCAAGAAAATGGCAGGGGTCCACTTTCTTTCTAATTTCCTTTTGCTATTAAAAAAAGATGCTTCAGTAGTAGTTCCTGGTATATTAAAATTAAAGTACCATACCACTTTCAGTACTCTCTTCTTTCATCCAAAGAGCAACAAAGCTGGTGAAGGGTCTGGAGCACAAGTCTTATGAGGAGTGGCTGAGGGAGCTGGGGCTGTTTAGCCTGGAGAAAAGGAGACTGGGTAGATTCCCTGCCAATCTCTACAACTACCTGAAAAAAAGTCTGTAACAAGTGGGTCAGTTTCTTCTTCCATGTAACAAGTGGCAGGATAAGAAGAAATAGCCTCAAGTTGTGCCAGGGTAGGTTTACATTGGATATTAGAAAAAAATTCTTCATGAAAAGGCTTGTCAAGCTGTATGCCAGGGAAATGATAGTTACCACCCTGCAGGTATTTATAAGATGTGCAGATGTGACTCTTAGGGACATGGCTTAGTAGTGGGCTTGGCAGTGCTGAGTTGATGGTTGGGCTCTGTTAAGGATCTTTTCCAAGTTAAATGATTCTGTGGTTCTATTCTTAATTATGACATACATTCAGTGTGCTGCTCACAGTTATATCTGGTGTTTTCTATTTGTCATTTTTAAATTGGAGTAGTATTTAGTAACTTTATTAAACTCATGACACACCTGGTTGAAAGAGACTGCTAAATACTGCCAATGCTTTTTTCCTGTTTTTAATGATTCAAAAACTACTTTTTGATACTAAAAAGAATGAAGTTGCTGAAATTTGATGGTTTACATCTGTAAACAGTAATTAAACATCTGTGAATAAGTGTACATTAACAGACTAACATCGAACTTAAAAAAAATAGAACAGTGTCATTAAAACACAAAGTGTAGCGATGCACAACTATAAAATTCTTCACTGTTGTAAAATAACAATAACAAAAAACAGCTGCCTTTCAGAGGGATTAGTGTTGATGTCATTACAGCTTTCTCAGTTTCTCTGTTTTGCAGTGACATATGATGATCTACTCCCTATAAGTCTTCATCTGGCACCAGTACTGGATCTATCATATGCCAAGCCTCATAAATGCACATCCTTTTAATGTAAAATCAATAAATCACCAGGTCAACCACCCATTCCTCCGAGTAGAGACACATTTTATTTAGAAAACAAAGCCTTCAGTAGTTGGCTTGGAGAGCCTTTGTAAGAGTATCCTCCATTTCTTTCGATTTTTTCAAGGATGGGTGAGTCCATTAGATATCTGAGAGGGTCCATTCTTTATGCAAGAAAGATAAATAAATATCTCATTGGACCATGAGGGAAGTTTTACAAAACAATATAAACCAAGCAAACAAACAAGAAAAGAAAGCTAGACCAACAGTGTCTGTCATAATGATTATTGTATGACAAATATAATTCTTTGTTCTAGTAGTCTTCTGGTGAACTGCAGTATATATGATTATCTCCTGTTTGTATGTTATTCTTTCCTTTACTTTTCCCTTATTCCTTTAGAAAATCTAAATCAGTGCTTGGATCAAATAATGAATGAATATATTTGAGTAGCAGTATTTCCTTAAGTGCAATTTTCAAGTGTCATGTAATCTTGACACATTAAATTTCTTAGAAGCCTATTGCAACACAAGGAGTAAGCAGAAGCAAAAAGAAATAACAATTATGCAGTGAAAATTTATACAAATTTGCATTCATGGATCTCTTTGGGCTAAATAGTCTTTTTCTTGAGAATTTGAGTCCAATATTTTTACAGTCAACAGGAGTCTTTATACTTATAGCTTTGAATTATTTCTTGCTATACAGGTATGAAGAGACAATATTTAGGCTACCTGTGCTTAGAAAGGGACCTTTCAAATCCATGAGTTTTGCTTTCAGTTTATTAGGATAACACAGATTAATGTTTGAGCCAATTGTAAGCTGCTAACAGTATCTGTATTATAGAAAGTTCTGCAGCTGATCGAAAAACTTCAAGCTTCATAAGCTCTACTTAGTGAGCTCCTGTTCTGTTATAAATTACCATCTCCAATATTATTGCAAATCCAAATAAACTCCCTGGTGATTGCAGATTACAGTCACAAATCCAAAAGGTACAGCACAATATACTTTTCTTAGCTAAATTAATTATTTCAGTTCTGGGCAACCCAATAGCGAGAACTGAACCACCAGCTGGCTAATATGTACAGTCAAAACATTTAGCAGCAGGTTTTTACATTAGTAACAGCAAGAATCCATTTCACGGAAGACAACAGAGAATAAATGATTCTCATTTTAAGAGTCCTTAAGGCTAAAGTGCTTTATCCTCCTTAAATGTTCTGACTAACTACCACCACCACATGATGTCATCAAGATTAATTTTATGTCGGTAGTTTCTTCTGCAGAAACACTGTAGAAATGGGTACAGGACTGTGGGAAGTTAAAAAGATGGAAGAGAACAATTCATGCAAAATAAAATTTTCCAGCTTCGTAACCAAGCCTTACAAGTCTTTGTTCTCTTTGGAGTGTGAAGAAATCTCCTTTTTCTGGTTGCTGATGATGTGATTGTAAGCTCAAAGATGGAAGGAACTAAACTCTTTCTTATTCTCATTAGTTTTCTTTTCCATGAGTCAGTATATGGGTTAGACTTTTTAGAGAGGGTTTTGCAAAAAAATGGTGCAATTTTTTTTTTTAAAAGCATACTAAAGACAGTATGTCTAGGAATGTGCAGTGTTGGCATTCTACTCAACTGGGCCATCAAAATACTTTGTAGGTTGGGTTATGGTGGAGCTTTTTGATTTTGTCCCATTGCCACACTCCCCACCTCCCTGGAAACGCCTTTTATCATGTAATTGGAAGAAACTACATTAATTGTAAAAAACCTTCTTTTTGAATGATACAACCAGTAGTGCTTTAGCTATCTGAACTTCCAATAAAGCCAAAGGAGGCACTAATCTGTTATGTAAGCATCAGTGTCCAGTTTCATTGGGAAAAAGAACCCTCCAGAATACGCAAAACTCATCTATCAGAGTAGTAGGTATGACATAGGACTTGTTAGAGATATG